CCCCCACCCGGCCCCGGCCCGAACACACCACCCCACCCCCTTCAATTGCACCCCACAAGTTTATTTTGACTTTGGAGTCAAAATTTGACTCCAAAGTCAAAATAAACTTGTGGGGTGCAATTGAAGGGGGTGGGGTGCTGTGTTCGGGCCGGGGCCGGGTGGGGGGGTTTACCGGTTGGGTTAGGGGGTAGGAACCGTCAATTTTACGAATGGGGCACCGGAGCGCCCCCGGGTCATCCCATGACATCAAGGTTCAATGTCACTTGAACCTTCCCCAAAAAATTATAGATAAAATAGTTACATAGTACTCCCTCCGTCTTCTTGTATTTGTCCACATTTGACTTTTTGAACTGTTCATCTAAGCACTTTGATTCATCAAATTCTCTAAATGTGTAAGCCTGAATATAGTCATGTGTGATCTTATTTGATTTGTCTTAACATATAGAATATTAATATATAATTTTTATAATTTTTTAATATACAAATTATAAGATAAAATGGATTAAAGAAGTGTATTGGATGGTATGCAAAAATGAAAGTGGACAAATACAGGGGGACGGAGGGAGTATGTTTTATTAATCTAAATATATACTCCGTATAAGAAAAACATCAATATTTCGATCTAAAAAATAATAATGGAATGAGGGAGTACCACTATACATTATAAAACCAAGGAAGAACTACATTTTGGAAAAGAAAAAAGACAACCTAAACAGTGTAAAAAATTTTAAAAGTAGAAATAATTTTGAGAAAAAGATAAAAATAAGAGTAAAACGTAAAAAAAATGTAAAAAAATAAGATCTCTATTTATTTATTTAAGAAATATTAGTTATAATGAAAATAAAATATCAATCATGAAAGAAAAAAAGTATATTTATTTACATTATGTGATATGTCTGATATTTAAGACAAAATCATGTAGATTAATATACAAAAAATGCATTACTCACATTAAAAAGTTGAAAAAATAACAATGAGTATGAATTGTAAAAATATTCAAATGAAAAAAAATGAAATAATTTATAAATTATAGATATAAATATAATGGTTTCAATAATAATAATAAAAATAGTAATCAAATTAAAAATATATCGTTTTTAGAGTAATTGGTTGAGGAGTAAAAAAAGTTTGAAAAAATTGAGAATAGTTGAAAATAACTGGAAGAAACTAGAAACAACTGAAAGAAACTAGAAGGACGGGAAGAAATCGGAAAAAATAGAAAGAACTCGAAAAAACTAGTTAAGAGTTTAAATCATAAAAAACAAACTCTAAAGAGTTGAGCGTGAATTAAAAAATTGCTTTAAAAAAGAAAAGAATTATCTGACCAAATCTCACCTTTAAACAATCCATTAAAAAAATATCTTTTTTCAATGTTATGCATAATTATCTCAATTTTTGAAAGGTACCCTTAAATAAAGGACTACGGTGGTAATATTTGATAATAGAGGACTAAATATGGAACCCCTTCTGTTATAAAGGACCAATTATGAAATTTACTCTTTTTAATTTTGACTTAACTCACGTAAGGATAATATTATTATAGATAATTTTTGAAAAATTGCATAAAAGTAGAGTTATTTTAAATAATTTTCCTTAAACAAATTAATCCTTCACTTTTTATTTGTTTTTTATTTTTTACGGTATATTTCTTTTTTCCCCATTTTTTGGGTTTTTTTTCTCTTTTTTTGGACTTTTGGTAGTCCGGAGAACATCAACTTCCATTAATACATTTACACTCCCCAACTTGAATCATAAATTCTCTAATTTTAATATGGAGAGGGTTGAAGGGGACGACAGAAGAGACGGAGAAAACAAAATTAGAGGGAGATTATTTAAAATTGTAAATCAGTCCTTGGGATTAAAATTGAAAATTTATATTCCATTAAAGTGAGGTGGAAAAAGAAGCCACATGTCTTCTAGCTATTGGTACATGTTGGGAGTGTTTCAAAACACTCTTTTTTAAACATGCACCGAAGGAATCGCCAGTTGGGGTTGGGTGGGGATTTATTGGAGGGGTTAAAAGGCTTGGAATTGTCAATTTTAGGAACACATCACCAGAGTACCTACCACTAAGAAAAAGTTCAAAAGTAGTAAAAAGTACTTCCTTTTTCCTCCGTTTGGAAATATTCTCCTCATTTGATTTTTCTTAGTCAAAGTTTGTAAATTTTAATTATGATATGTAGAAAAAATACATTGTATTAGGATATAACTTTAATATGAATATATTCATTTTGAAATATAGTTTTCAAATATCAAATTTTTATAAAATATATCTATGTATAAATAAAGATATTAGTGGTCAAAGTGCAATCTAGGAGACCTTAAAAATCAAATAGGAAGAATATTTTCAGACGGAGAGAATATGTTGATGTCATATAAAACAAAAAGTTGAAAAAGTCAAATTTACCTCGTCAAATGTAGTTGGTTATAATGGGCCGTAGAGAATAGATGTATCCCTTTTTATTCAAAAGGTACTTAGGGTACCATAAGTATTGCACACCAATACAAATACAGAGACACATGTATACTCAATATTTGTGCATATAGAGACATTGAGTACTTTGTCTTAGTATGCAATACTTGAATTCTTCCTAGGACCACTCAATTTTTTATGAGGCAAAATGAAATGGCAGCGATGGACTTTCAAATGAGACTAAGGGACCGCGTCACTACTTTCTAGCCATTCTTGAAATCTATCTAGATTGCCTAATTTATATGATTAATCTATAAATAACCTTCTTCGACATGTGGAGAGGAGATTCTAGTTCATTCAAACTCACAATACCAACTCAAATTATGTTCTCTCTCTAAAAAAACTCTCTCTCTCTCTCCAATCCTGGATATACAATATCTGTCATTCGGAAATCACATTTTCAATTAGCGGTAATATTTAAAATAATCTTTTAGCTACTGCAAATTAAACATGAAAGCATGTTAAATTCCATTATTAGATACTTTTTTGTATGTATCATTTTAAAAACGTTAAAAGTTACTATTTCCATTTTAAAATATTTTTGAGTTAACGAGATTGTCTGTTTACTTTTCATTAAATTTATATGATTATCACGGTCAGGTCTATCAAGAGCAACATGGGGGCAGCTGCCCTCACTCAAAACAAAAATTTATTTGTTATTTTTTTGGGTCGTATATTGGTGCCTTCAGTAAAACAAATTTTCACCTATCCAAAAAAAAACTCTAGTTTAAAAGTGAGAAATAATTGTTTAAATAACATATGAAGGTAAAATATTTGAAATATAATAGTTATATTAGGTTACGATATGCCGTATATTATATTTTTTAATTTTAAAAATACTTTATTTTACTTATTTGAATACTTGTTTGAAAATAAATCTATTCATTTTTTCGTCATTATAAATAGCTTTATTCATTTTTTCATGATTATAAATAGCTTTTAAAGAAATTTGGATGCGTTGCACCCGAACCCCGCCATACTCCCATACCATGACATTGCGCTCAATCACATTTTTTTCTAGATCCGCCACACCGGATTATAGGTATAAAATTTAAAAAATAAAATTTGTACTTTAGGGTGTATTTAAAAACTACATTAAAATTTGTATTGTATAAAATAAGAGATGATATAATTATATTATTTTATCGAGTAATTTACAAATATATATATATATATATATATATATATATATATATATATATATATATATATATATATATATATATATATATATATATATATATATAAAAGGAGTAAATTCCATAAAAGGTCCACAGTTATAGGTCGTTTTACATATTTAGTCCCTACTTATAAAATATTACTAATTTAGTTCTCAATTATTATATCATTTTTCATGAATGGTCTTTTGTTAACATTTTGTTAAAAATGAATAAAAGTGTATATTTATATATCTCTCTTCTCAATTAAGCTTCTTCCATCCTCTCGTAATCTTTCCCAAACTTATCGCTGAGTTTGGAGCTCTAAACCCAAAACTAAAATGATCATTCCTCTCTCAATTACTAATCTTCCTCGTGAAACCTAAAATCAAAACCAATAAGATTTATGAGTGAGTTTTATTGGTTAGTCTTAAGAAATTGCAAAGAAAATAAACATTAGAACTCATTCATGAAGGTTACTTGTTTCGAATTTGGGTTCCACCAGTTAGACAAACAATTGTGAGAAGAGTGATGATATCGGTTTTGAGTTCAAAACTTCAAACTCAGTGAAAAATTTGGAAAAGGAGTGCGAGGAGAGAGAGCTTAAACGAGGAGAGAAAGGATGAATGAATATTGAAGAATGCTAGGGGTACACCATTTGGTGTACCCTATTTGTCCCCCACCCATTTCTCCACCATACAAATTTTTTTTATTTTTATTTGTTTATTTTTTTTCTTGCCTTTTTTTGTGGTGATGGAGGAGGTGGGGGACAAATGGGGTACACCAAAGGTGTACCCCTAACATTTTTCATGAATATTATGTGCAAAAGAATGTTTTAGAATAGACTTTTTATTTAAAGAAAAAAAGGGAAACCTCTCATGGGCTTTAGCTTAAAATGCCTTAAATATTTAAAGCCCATCGTCTCCCTCATCCGGTCCTATTGCCAGAACAACATGTACCTGTGTATCTGTCTCTCTCTCTAAAGAGCCAGCGACTTCTCTGCGAAATCATCCGACAATCAAACCCTAGGGGTTCACTGATTCAGATGTGCAGTTGAATTCAATTTATATGCAAAAATCTGTATATCCGTTGAGCATCTCCATCCGACTTCGGGAACCCTAGATCCGGCCGCGCAGTCCTTCGGAGATCTGTTTGGGTATTCCTCAGAATTTGACGATATGGATGCTTTCCACAGATCGAATCCGCAGGTCACGCAGATGCCAACTGCAACGGCGGCGGCGGCCGCAGCGCCTGTGGCGTCAGCTGAGGAAGAAGCTATCAAGAAAAACACGGATTGCGTTTACTTCCTCGCTTCACCTCTTACGTGCAAGAAGGTGCGTCTTCTCCCCTTCTTACTGTGATATTTTAGCTGGCATGTGTTACAGCGGAGTATATCGTATGCTGTTTTTTTGGATCCTTGTATTCTGTGCTTTCTATTTCTGGTTTGGTTAAGGATTGTGTGCATATATCTGTTCTAGATCCGTGGATCAATTAATAAAGATTTGTTTTTTCTCAAATTTTTAAATTCCTTTGTCGTGTGGTTGTTTATGAATTACGGAGTATGAACTACTTTTGTGTTGGGATTTCATCTTTTAAGTTGTCCTGTGTGCTTGTATTTATACAATTTGAGCTAATGGAAGTGCTTCCAAAACCTGCAAGTGAAGTCTTGCTCAACTCATCCAGTGAACATCAGTTTAATATTTATTAATTTCTCTGGCACACACTATACACCACCAAAGCATATTTGTGAAGTTATTCAGAATTAGGCTGAATTCTTTGAGTTCTATTGTAGTGTTGTTTCCTACAAATGACAGCTTCCGTAAATCAAATAGTTTTTTATTCTTTCACTGTGTTAGGCTAAGAAATCCAAAGTCCAAACGTGTTAATGTGATATGCGAACTAGTTGTGCAGTCCCACTTTCTATTAGGGATTGATTGGCGAGTAAAACTGTGTCTAAATAGAAGGGTTCCAAATTTTGAATGAAAAGTGTTTGGAGAAAATTTAAATGGAATCAAATCTCTATCTCTCTCTCCCCCTGATGTTTGGAAAGTTTGGTCTGAAATTGGCAAATTTGTTGTAATTTCTTTTTGTTACTTTTTAAATACGGATTACTAAAAAGAATTTGGAGAGCAATCCAGCCCGGCGTGAAAAAGGAAAAACTTGAATAAAAATTTGAAGAACGTGTATCAATCTTTTCCGGTGCAATGCGAGCTTCCTGTTGGATCTTTGCCTGTGCCACATCCAAAGTGCTTTGCTGGAAGGATCATGGCCTTCACTCCGATGCAGACAAGATCTTTTCCGGTGAAGATCTGGCTTGATCCTGGTAGTTGCATCCCCCGCCAGCATCCCATCAGGTGACAAAAATGTTGGATATGTAGAAGATGAAGACACATGCGTGTTTCCGTAGGAGACGGAGTGCTTTGTGAGGAAGATGCGAGCAAGATATATAATCTATTCTGAAATTGGCAGGTTTCAATTATTTGATACATGCTAATTAATGGAGATATTAAGACAGAGGTTATTGGGAGAGTTTCCATATCTTGGAAGTCTTTCTTTAGTACATAAAACACTAAATTTGGGAGTTTGATATTGGCTTGGCTCACCCAACACGACCTTAATATTTTTTTATGGAAGGCATTAGTATGCAATGTGCGTTATTATACTCCTAATTTTAGTCTTTAGAGCAATATTTTGTATATTATTCTTTACACAAAATGAATATGATTCGTTGGGTGGTATGTGTTCTTGTCAAACTTATCATTTAACACTTTAGGTTCCTACCGCCTACTGATGTTTATTCCCTTGTCTGACTATAGGGAAGTGAGTGTGAGTATCGCCATAGTGACAGTGCTCGGCTTAATCCAAGAGATTGCTGGTACTGGTTGAATGGGAATTGCTTAAACCCTAAATGTGCCTTCAGGCATCCTGTAAGTTCTGCAACCTAATTAGCAATTATTTCAGATGTTCTCTTTAAACTTGCATAGTATGTTGTTCTCATTAATTGTCCAAAGATTGTTAATACTTGCTAACTTTTGTTATAAATGTTTCCTCTTTGACAGCCTCTCGATGCATTAGTAGGCCCTGAAGCCCTAAATCATGCTGAAACATTCATGCCTCCTGCACATGCTATGGCCGCTGCAGCACAGATGCCATATGTTTCTAATAAACACGGAGTTCCTTGCATCTTCTTTCAGCAAGGGATTTGCATGAAAGGTGACCGGTGCTCTTTCTTTCATGCTCAAACCTCTCTGGCTAACAAAGCCCCACAGAAGCAAGGTGCTCTTCCACCCACCACTGAGGCTGCTCCTAAGAAGACCTTTGGTGCGCTTGAAAAATGCACACAATTGAAAAACAATCCACAAATAAATGCCCTGAAGAGCGGGGGCATACCAACTGCAGCAAAGCCAGTAGTCAAAGAAGGCTTGCCGCTGGCAAAGAACCACTTTCTTGCTGACAAAAACACAACACCATTATCTGTAAATGATGATGAACGTTCTAAGTATAAAGCAACAAGTGTTCCTGCTAATGGAAATCCTGTCAGCAGGACAAGCCAAATGCAACCTGGCTTTGATGATCATGACGACAACCTGCACAATAAGGATGAGGAGGTCTCAAGGGAGGCGTCTCCTGGCTTTGATGTTCTGGTGGATGATGAGCTTAGAGATTCTGATTATTACCCGGTTGAAGATCAATACGGAGGAGCTGGAGACCATGAGAGGAGTGAATATGATGCCAACCCCTCAGCCGATTACTCAATGGGAGGTATTGACCAAGACGTGTACCGGGAGGCACATAATGATTATGAAAAACGTTATGGTTGGGAGCAACGTGGAGTTTCATCAGAGAGGAAACAAGTGAGATCATATCCTGATAGGAGACATCATGGCAACAATACTAACAGCTTGGATCACGTTCGCGAGTCAGATTTAAGACATAGGTTATCGAAACCAAGAAAGGTTAATGGTTTACGTTCAGTCATTAGCAACGAACATACTCATCATGAAAAACGTGTTGAGGGACGGGGGAACTATCGGGGATCCTGGAGAGAGAGAAACAATTTATCATCTTCACATGAAAGTTCTTCCATTAGCAGTCGCCTTCAGGGCCGGATAAGTGTTCCTGTCAGATCTTCACCGCTTGATGTTGCTGAGATTCGGCCAGAAGTGGACAGGAGCCGAGATCGTGACAGACTGTCTCACGGAAGGCTTCAAGAGAGAATGAGAGGAAGACTGCAAGAGGATCCTGGTTTTGTTGTGGGTAGACACAGCAGAGGCCCACTACTAAGAAGAGACGTGTTTGGTGAGGATGATGCAAATTTTGCTGCTCCAAAAAGTTTATCTGAGCTGAAAGGAAAGAAGAGTGGTGTCGAAAGGAATGGGGAATTGTCCCACCTAGGGAAAAGGAAGTCCCAGCAAAATTTTGATGACCTGCAATCATCAGGAGGGGGTGATCTTTCGTTTGAAGGGCCAAAGCCTTTGGAAGAGATTTTGAAGCGAAAAAGACGAGCCAGTGATAATAATAGTGGAGACCACAATAATCACCAAAGGGAAAACACTACAGCCACAATCCAACCTTCCTCTTTTCTTAAGGAAGACGTTCAACCACCTTCTCTCTCATCAAGCATCAACCACAGTGGCAAACTTGAGAACAATAAATCAGTTGAAGATGATCTTGAGGTTGAAGATGGAATGGTAGCTGATGAAGAAGGAGCCGAGTACGAAGATGATGTGGCAGAAGGCTATGAAGGCGACCCACAGGGCGGGGAAGAAGAAGACTACTACGAGCAAGTCAATGGAGATGAAGAAGATGTCAATTTGAACGACCATGGCGAGAATGTGGACCCCGAGGATGAGGAATATCTATACGAGGACGAAGATGCTGATGACTTCGCAAAAAAGATGGCCGTTGTTTTCTCATGAATTGGACACCTATGCCTTGTCTTATTGTTCATCATTCACTGACTACTGCTGCTGCTGCTGCTGCTCTTGGTTAGCTTTGAAATCATTTTCTGAGAGATAGAGAGAGGGCAGCGAGACCATATAAACAATTTCATCTTTTTTGTGAGTAGAGTAAGCACTTATATTTGTACTGCTTCTCTTTGTATTATTTGTTACATTATTGGCATTGTTCTCATTGCAGCACTCCCACCCATTGCATTGCCCGAAGGGGTCGTGTGGCATTAACACATAGATTTGCCTAATAATAATTTCACTTTTATCTTTTGATGCTTACTTAACTTAAGTTTTGTGTGTGTGTAGTAAGTCTAAAATGATGCCGGTGCTACTGGTGTTATTTGCTTATACCAATTTGTTTGGGGTATCTACGGTGCTTCGTTTATAAAAATGATGGTTCCTATCCCTTCTAACTATCCCCTAAACCCCGCACCCCAGCTCCCATCCCTACCTTGATAGTATACTAGTGACATTTTAGACAAAATAATGTGACTTTACAATAATATTGATTGTTCCAGTCAGTTTCTGATAATTTATCTTACTTTATACGAGTGATTTTTGATTGTTTGAGTTTGAGAACAGATTTTTCTACCCATGGTCGTTGAGTAGAAGGTCAATGAATCACGTGGTCCATTTGTTGGCTAAAGTTTATGGTTCTTTACCTGATTTTTTAGAGCAGGTGTTTATCCTCTACTGATTATTTGTGATTCTATGAATTTATATATGATTCCCATTTTTTTCATAGAAAAAAAATGGTTCCCATTTTATTTAAAAAAAAAGGTTACGGAATTGGAATTGGTGTAATTATGTCCCAATTACACTCCATTTTCTCAAGTTAATCATTCTTGTCAATTGGTCTCCACGTCTCTTTAGTCCTCATATTATTGTTATTAAAAAAAGAATTTGGCAATAACTCTATCTTAGAAATATTTAAATTATCCCTATCCTTGTTAAACAAAACTTGAAAAAGCAGTCATTTTTATTTTATAATTACTCATAAAATTCATCTCAAACCTTTCAAGTATCTAAAATGAAAAAAAGCTTACGTAGTAGGTAACTTTTATCCAAAAATTAAAAAACACCTCAAGAGCTATGTTTTTAATCCAAACTCTATTAATGAACTTTAGCAATTCTATATAAAAAAAAGGGTTTTAACCCTAATCACCCCTTCCACTTAATCTTCCCTACGAAGAAGATGCCATTCCCATCAAGCTTTGGAGTTCCTACTATGATCAAAAGCTGCAACAGTTCAAACCACTAAAACCGAACTCATGACAATTTGACCTAATTGTCACTCTCTGCAAAAAAAAGGACCAACTCCCACCATTGGCGTTCAGCAAAGAACGCCAAAAATGCCATTTAACCCCAAGTTTGACACCACCAAAGACAATTAGGCATAACCCAAAGAACATTGATTGAACTTAAGAGGAAGAAGATGAGAAGATTATATGAAGCTGGAAAAAAACTGCAGCCATTATTATTATTATTATTATTATTATTATTATTATTATTATTATTATTATTATTATTATTATTATTATTATTATTATTATTATTATTATAACTGAACCAAAAGATGTACAAGGAAAGTGATAAAATTTTTGTCCCTTTGAACAAAAAAAAAATCAATGCATGTCCCTCTAAACGTAGCGTCCGATACCCATAAACATGGCCTTTTTGTTCCGGCCACGTTATAATGCATGAGCAGATAATGTATATAGCAGCGCGCACTTTAGAAAAATCGCCAATGGAAGCAGCAACAGGAGGAGGAAGAAGAAGAAGAGGGCACACGTCCAGTTTGCCGTATATACTCGGCCTGTTTCTCAGCGTTTGAAGCATGTTGTCTCATCTTAGCCTCAGCTGCGTATCTCTTTGCTTCGGCTTTGCTCCTAACTGAAGATAGCTTTTTCATTAGTTCATCTTGGCCTCTTGTCTTCATCCTTTCCACCTCCATCTGAAAAAGAAAAAAAAAAGTATAAGGACCCGCTTGCTAATTGGAGAAATTCCTGTTTTTCTAAATTTAAAAGATGAATTGGCAGTGATGGATACCTTGGACCAGGGGGTATAAGGTCCAATGAAGAAGACCCGGAGGCCCGAGGTGGGATGACGGAAGAATGAGGATAGGGAGTATGGGTCGAGGCCCAAGTCCGGTAAGTGGCCCCTACCTAATGACTCCCTATACTTTCAACTTACAACTAGAAAGTCACAAAAGTACAACAACAACCACCCGGTATAATCCCAACTCAATTGTGCTGTGGTGGTCAAGATGTGTCGAGAAACCAACTCAGCCAAAAGCTCAAACTCGTGGTTTTAGGCCTAAGAAAGGTTATATACTCTAACACACCCCCTCATGTGCAAGCAAGATTTGTTTTTGCTCGAGCCTTTCACGCGAAAATCAATTTTTTTAAAATTGGGTGGCACTAAGTTTCGAACACATGACCTCTTAGTCAAGAAGGCTCCAATACCACGTCAAGGAACCAATTCAACCACAAGATCAAGCTCGCGGTTGTAGGGCCAGAAAAAGTTTTATACGAGCTCTAACAGAGAGTAAGAAGCGAAGGGAAGTTTAATGTGCTTTTTTTATTTAGCGCATCATGTGCGCGAAACTAAAACATTGTCAATGATGACTCTTTTAGCTCCATTAGCAATGGACAGATGGATATTACCTCAGTTTTCTAAATTCACAAAGGTAATAGAAAATATTACCTCAGTTTTCCTCATCTCTGCCTCCGCCTTGGCTATCTGGTGATTCTCCCATGCTTGTATCTTCATTTCTTCTCGCTTAAATCTGAGGTGCAATAGATCACATTTAGTTTTTTTCCAATTTCGCGAATTTCTTGTTTTGAAAAAATATAAAGAAATACAAACTACGGAGTAACGTATTCTCTCGGACCGTAAAAGAATGTCAAAAAGGTTAGAATTTGACACTTTTTAGAGATAGAGTGAGCATAAAACATTGAAGCATTTTTGTTTGACTTTTCTTGGTCAAAGTTCATAAACTTTGACTAGATTTTGTAAATAAAAGTATACTCCATTGGTCTGATATCTTTCTTCTCTTTTTTGACATGACACATTTGGTAATGTAAGATGAAAAAATGCATGAATTTTCATTTGTTGTCCTAGGTGGTGTAATAAATTGAAGAGAGATAAAAAAAAAAGGTAAATGGTGCAAAAATAAAGGCAGAATAGTCTTTTAATGTAAAACATTTGAATAATCTTTCCATTCAAGGAAAGATGAAGAAAGGGACGGAGGTATTATACAGTTATAATGTGAATTTGATATCATTGAGTCCATTTTGAAATGCAGTTTTGAAATATCTTATTTTCAAAATATTCATTTATGTGCAAATATAATTATTAACAGTCAAACTATTGCATTGGAGACCGTGAAAAATCAAATAGGAAAATCAAATAGGCAATCTAAAGGAAGTAGTGGAAATGAATGATAGATTTAAAAAAAATTAAAAAAAACCTGGCCAAGTGTTTTGCATTCTCTGCCTCCTCCCAAGCTGCTGCGCGTGCCATGATGACACCATCAGGCTGTTCAGTTGCAGCGCCATTTACTGTCACATTGGGTTCATTTTTATGGCCATCTTCCTCATTGCTAGCCCAAGCTGCAATGTTCATCTTCCCAAGTTGAGTTCCTAGAGCCATTATTTCTTTTCTGGTCTTCATCTGCAATTCCTTTTCAAAAGTCTGGGGATCGTTTGAATGGGAGAGAAGAGAAGAGCACGGAGGAGTGGATGGATGAGAAGAAGATGGACTGCGAGTTGGTGTTGTCGCTCTCACCGGAGTCCCAGTCCTGGAAGGCTCTTGGCTTGCGATTGGTGTCATTTCGGTGCCCATATCTCTCATTGACACAGACCTGGCTGTTGAAGGCAGTGGGACAAATGCCGTTTCGCTATGGATGGAAACACACGAGTCGTGCCTGCTCAAATTGACTGCAGAGAAAAAGTGCCATGATAATGATATCAATTTACTATGAGAGAAGAACAACAAACACGAAGTAGGGTCTACGGAGGGTGAAATGGTGATAATATTATGTTAAATTGATTCTTATATAATCTCAAATATATTCAGATGGAGATTAAGCCATCCAAAGACTTCCCCTCCAAAACCCATCAAACCAAACAGACCCTAAGTGGTTGTGAGGGCCGAGGGCCATATATATGCATTGTTAAATGAGTAAGCCAAATGGGGAACCCAACAATCTTACTTGCTGATTCTCTGGTACAGTTTTCGATCATGAGTGTCTCCTTTCCATACGATTCAGCAACCGGGTGTGAATCGGACTCCCAGCTCACATACTTCTGCACTCCATTATCCTTGAACTGGTTCGAATCGATGCACTTAGTATCCGCGGGCTCCTCAGAGATAACCATTCGTCTATCAGAAACATCAGAGGCCTGTTTGGTGGGCTTTCGTGATCCCAACCCACATTGAGTTTTTAGGCGGTTAGATGTCGGGCTTGCAATCCACTTCTGAGCATCGTCCCATTTTGATGGTGCGGGTTTTGAGAAAGGTGCAACTGGTGGGACCCTTTGTGCTCTATCCGCTGCTTTCTGAAACTCAAAATTCATATCTTGAGACTTAAACATGGAAGTGGAGCGTGGTTGCTCCTTCGATCTATTGTCTTTAACCATTGATGAACCAAATCCCCACTCTGTAGAACACTCATGTAGGACACTTACAACAGCAACATCTTTGCAAATCTCTGAACCAGCTTCTGATGCATCAAATTAAAGCATATGTTCAGCTAATACCGACTTAGTGATCATAAAAATGACATTAACACTCAGTAACAGAAATGAAAAAACCAGCAAAATGGAAAGATGGACTTTTTAATTGTTCCTTAAGCTTGTTAAAGAGAGAAATTTGGGACAGTTAGGAAAGAATTATCACTATTTCTTTCAAAGTAGTGATCTCTTTCCTATTTGCTTTGGATTCTTTAATATAAGTTTTGTTTGGAAGCAACATTTGTAAATAGCATTAGTGTTTTGAATGTGGTTTAATGATGGACATTAATTCTAAAAACGCTAAGGCTAAAGGCCGTTGTTAGATAAGATTTTCAGAATGCAAAGCTAACGCCAAACGAGTTTATAAGACGAAAGAATCCTGCATAAAATGGTCTAAGGAACAAAACCCTTTTTTTGGGATCTATAAGGTATTCTCATCAACTTAAATAAGTAACAGAAAATGAAAAGGTCCTAAAGTGAATCCAAAAATGAAAAGTCGTGAATACCAAAGATTTGACATTCCACATGAGAAAAAAAAGGTCCTAAAGTGAATCCAAAAAAATGGATAAAGTCATTACAGATTCATAGACATTTATTCATTTAACTTAAACAGCATCTCAAATAGAAAATTTCAAAAATAATAATAATAATAATACAGAAAAAAATAAGCTCTACCCCATGTATAGTACAAGATGGGGGCTGGAGGGAGTACAATAAAAGAATGCAAGAGAAGAGAAGACAGTACATACCAGAATCATGGATCTCAGATTCGGATCTTAAAGAGATACCAAGCTCTGGGTCTTCTTCTTCCTCCTCCTCCTGTTCTCCAGCCTGAGGTTTCTTCCTTTTCTGTGTCCTCAGAAGCATACTCCTAAGCTTCCTCGGAGACAACTGCACAAATATAAGCAAACATAGAAAACAACCCCCCAAGAAAGCAAAAGAATCTTGAAATTGACAGAAAAATAAAAGCTAAAGATTCAGTTTTTTTCTTCTTCTTTCTTTTTCTTTTCTTTTGGGCTGACCTGGAGGTGGCCAGTGCAAGTATTGGGTTTTTCTATTCTTTCGTAACATTCCATTTTCTTGTGGCAATGAAGAAATCTCCCTTCTTCTTCTCTGAATCTCTTCTCTGTGGGGTTGGGAGATTGGAAGGAAAGAACCGAAAATGGCAATGGCAAATGGACAAAATAGGGGAGTCAAGTGCAGTGTGTGATAGGAGTGGGAGGAAGTAAGGACAGTAAGTAGTCTGTCCCACTTGACCACACAGTCTTCATGTGGAGTGTTAGGAATTTGACTCATTGGAATGGGATCTTATTTCTTACGGAGTAATTGTGAGAAGGACCGTGCTACAGTGCACCCACTCTTACCTCCTTTGTTGCCTCTCTATATAAAGTGTTTTTTTATCTTTTCTCCTTCTTTTTTTTCTTTTCTTTTTCCTTTTCTCTGCGTTGCTCTGGCTCTCCTCTTCCGCGGCAGCGAGGCACTCTCTCCTCCCTTTTCTGCGCTCTTCTTCTTACAAGGCTTCAGGTAATCTCTTATTTGTCCTATCTTCCTCTTCATATCTCTGATGCGCCAACCCATGTAGCACGACGATTCCTCTGTCAATCTCTTATCTTCATTCCATTTTTACTCAATTTCTATGGCAATAATTTTTTCAATTTTTGTAGAGTCCATAGGATATTTGGTGATTATGGACTTACAAACATCTATTGTTACACATGTTGAGAATGAGCAACCACATGATTTTGGTGGTGAAGAAGAAGACCTGGTTTTATATGAGTTGCTGCCCAGTTGTAAGTGTTGATATTTAGACCCAATTCTATATTCATTTGAAGTAGTGAAAAAAACTGTTTTCTTTTCGTGTTACAGAAATTAAAGTTCTGTGAATCTAGGGTTTGTCCTTGTCACAGACGCTAATTATCTGTATGCACTCTGCATTAGGTGTATTATTGTTTTCTTCATAGTCAGGTATTTTATTATATTAAAGGTACTGTTTGTTGCAGCCGTTGAACCAGATTTGTTTTTAAACGATCCTTGCTTTGAGTATTTATTTAATGACGAAGGGCAAGAACAGGCGAGTGGTGAGATTCCACAGAACACAGATGACATTAACAATGATGTCCGGAACAACGGTCAATGCCCTTCTAAAGGAAACAAAGGTAGCGTGCCTGAAGTGGGGATGAAGTTTACAAGCATTGGAGAAATTCGAGAACACTATCTGGCTTATGCTCGAAGTGTAGGATTTCCAATGCGGACGAGGACAACTCGCAAAGCCAAAGATGGAACTCCTAGAAGTGTTACATTTGTGTGTAGTCGACAAGGAAAAAAAAGAGCAAAACACAAGATGTGTTCCACCCGAGGCCGACAATGCAATTGGGATGTGAAGCAAGAGTAACTGCGTCATGTGATGGTGATGGAATATGGAAGATCTCCGTTGTGCAGTTATTGCATAACCATGACTTGAGTCCTACTAAATCTAGAATATATCGTTGTAATCGTAGTGTGCCTGCTAGTGTTAAAAAGCAGCTTGAGGTTAATGACAAGGCAGGAATTCCCTTGCACAAGAGTTTTCAAGCGGCTGTTGTGGAAGCGGGTGGATATGAAGAACTTGGCTTTATAGAGAAGGATTGTCGAAATTACATTGAAGAGTTTAGACGATTAAGACTTGGCCTCGGAGATGCAGAGGCAATACAAGGATATTTTAACAAGATGCAAGCAAAGAATGACGGGTTTTTCTTTAGCATGGATGTGGATGAAGAATCAAGGCTTAGAAATGTGTTTTGGGTGGACAATAGGTGTCGTCAGTGTTACAAATCCTTTGGTGATGTTGTGACATTTGACACTACATACTTGACTAACAAGTATGAATTGCGGTTTGCTCCTTTCGTAGGTGTAAACCATCATGGGCAATCAGTACTTCTTGGTTGCGGCTTAATTGCACACGAAGATACAGAGTCATTTGTTTGGCTTTTCAAGACATGGCTTCAGTGTATGGAAGGGGTTCCACCCCAAGGCATAATTACAGATCAAGATCAAGCCATGGCTAAAGCAATCAGTATTGTGTTTCCAGGCATTAAACATCGTTGGTGTCTTTGGCATATTCTTAACAAATTGCCTGAAAAGTTAGGAGGCAGGTCTGATAAAGTTGAAATCATGGATAAGATAAACGACCTAGTGTATGATGTTCATCTTATCACAGAATTTGAGCAAGGCTGGAGAGAAATGATTATGGATGAGGATCTAAATGACAATGAGTGGTTGGCTGAGATGTTTTTTTGGAGAGAGAGATGGGTTCCATGTTATCTACGAACTTCTTTTTGGGCTGGTACTTATTTTATGTGTTGTGTTTTTTTTAACTTGACAATTACTGTCTGTGAGAGTGTTATTCACAGAAAGTAATTGTCTATGACATTTAAATAACTATTTCAGAATTTGTGTGTTAAACTGTACTTTCTTCCACAGGTATGTCCTCAACGCAGCGTAGTGAAAGCATGAATGCTTTCTTTGATGGCTACGTGCATTCAAAGACAACACTCAAGCAATTTGTTGATCAATACGACCGTGCGCTAAGGAAAAAAGTGGAAATGGAGTTTCAAGCAGATGCTAGCTCCTTTACAAAAATGATCCCATGTGTCACTATGTATGAAATGGAGAAACAACTTCAAGACGTATATACTATTTCCAAATTTAAAGAGTTTCAGACTGAAATTCTTGGGAAAGTATACTGCGATATTATAAGCAACATTGGGGATACTTTTGTAGTGGAGGAGTACGTGTGCATCAAAGGGTTTCGCACGAGGAAGTCTTTTGAAGTTGCATTTGATCCATGTACACAAGAGGTGGATTGCACTTGCCATCTTTTTGAGTTTAAAGGGATGATTTGTAGACATTGCATCGTTGTCTTCATTCGAAACGTTGTTAGGTTTTTGCCTCAGAAGTATATCCTAGAGCGATGGAGGCGTGATGTGAAGCGGGCATACACACGAGTCAAAGTAGATTATGATGGCTGGATATGTACTGTCGAACAACAACGGTATGATGACTTGTGCAACAGCTTTCGGGCTTTGGCGAATAAAGTCGTAGACGATGAATACCGCATTCTCCTCTTCATTTTCCCCTGCCTCCTCAGTGTCGTCCTCACTTTCCATACTCTCCTCCTTATTTTCCCGAGTCTCATCTTCATCTTCATCAGCTCCAGTCTCCTCCTCATATTCCTCAGCAGCCTCCTCGATTTCATCATCTTCTTCTAAATCCTCATCATCTTCCTCAGCAGCCTTTGTCCTTGCTCTCTTCTTTCTCTGAATTCTAACAGATCTTCTCCTTCGGCCACTTGAATTCAGGTTCATAACAACCTCCACCAACAACTTCTTGATTTCATCAATCTTCACTTCAAGTCCATCCATCCTTTTCTTCAAATCTCTAATGGCTCGAACGGTGTCGGCATCAGAATCCTGTGTATAAACAAGAGCATAAAGCATATATATTCCCAGACAGTGACTGTAGGTATAATGTAAATTCACAGAGGTTAAAATTCAGCGAATATATTACCTTCTTTTGTTGCAATTCACGAAAGAAAATGTCCTTAAGTGTCACTGCTTTTGGAAACTTCTTTGATGCCCAATTCAAAATTTCACAAGAAGAAGTCCCCTCTTGCACGACAAGGTTTTTTTCAACCAACTCCGGAAAACACTCATACGCCCACACCTTAAACAAAAGTAAATAAAAAAATAATGAATATTCCAAGTAAGTGTTAGAATACATATTATGTTCATATACTAACCTGAATAGGCAATGGAAAACCATAGAAGGTGTACTTTAAGGATTTGTAGTTTGGGGTTTCTTTGCTCTTTTTTTCAAATTTTTCGGGCTGTCCATCCATTGCACCTTTCATATGTCGTATAGTAAGTAAGTACGACTCCCAAGCCCATGGATAAGATTTGAATTTTTTGGGCTCTTCGACAAGATGCAAATGGGTTGATTCAATGCATGTAGATTTATCCTTTGCTAAAAGGACAGACTCAATGAAGTAGAGCATGGAAAAGTCAACCATTTTCTTCGAATCCATGGTATTCTCCGCTGCAACATACTTCTCTCGTACATGCTTGAAGGTGCACTTCGCGACCTCCCCTCCTAAGAATTTGTGACACAGTGAGCTCTGTCCAAGCTCTTTGTCCTTAAGAGGTGGGTACCTCTTTGTGTTCGGCAACCCTGTAATTCTGCACCAGTCGTTGAATGTGAATTTCACCATTTCAGAGGATCCAGAATTCATCGTCAGGTTGATCCTCAACAAGCAACAAAAGCATTTGGTGAATGATCTGGCCAGAAAACTGGAGGTTCTTAAGCCCCATGAAGTGCCCAATTGGAGTCCTGTGAAATTCTTCAAATTGACTATGACTCAATTTCTTCTCAATGTTGTTGATGGCTTCACGGATGTCAGAACAAACTGAGTAATGAGCTCCAAAATGAGCACTTACAGGGATTAACAATGACATTGTCTGAAATGAAGTTCAATTAACACAATTTAAATATTCACACAGACAATAATCATATATGAAGTTCAATAAACAGAAGTTAATTGTCTATGGCATATTATTCAAAGAAAGCAAGCAAAAATAACAGGTAGACTTGTTTCACAAACAGTAATCTTATATGAAGTTCAAATAACAAGACTTAAACCTCTGTATCATACAATTCACAAAGTAAGCAAAAAATTTACAACCAAACATATTTCACATACAATAAACTTATATAAGTTAATCAATGAAACTACATTATGGAGATTTGAGACTACACAAACATACTATTATCAAATCCACAATTACATTAACACACAGTTTAAAAACACCAAGAAAATTGAAATAATCGGCAAAGACCAAAGAAAGGGAAATTAGCTTGAGTACGTTTGGGGCTTAAGCAGGACTGCCAGCAAGGGAGGTGGAGGGTGGGGCTGCCGGCGCTGGAGGTGGACGGGTGGGGCTGCCGCTGCTGGTGGTGGAGGGTTTGGCTGCCGACCCTATAGGTGGAGGGTTGGGGCTCCCGGCGCTGGAGGTAGAGGGTCGCTGGAGGTGGAGGGGGTCGCTGTAGGTGGAGGGTTGGGGATTTTGCCGGCGATTCGAAATTCTACAACAATCAGACGAACACAAGCCAAATTTGGGAAAGAAAAGAGGAAAATTTGGGAATTGGGAGCTTGAGAAGGTTGAAGCGGGAGAATGGAGAGAGACTAGATTTGGGAATGTCTTTCGGTGGGAGACGAAAAGCCTAAAAAAATGAAAAAAAAATTGCTATATATTAGGTAGCATGCTTGGAGGCATACGTGGTGCCTCTTTAGCATTACCCTTGTCACAATCCCCTTTTTTTAGATGATGCCCACATTGAATGATTTTTTGGTAGCCCATGTGCCCATTCACATCTAATCAATATCAAGGTTGATGCAAAAAATATTTTTTTTTAAAAAAGTTCTCTCTTCCACTAAATTCTAAACATGTTAAAAGTATATTATTTGAGTCAAACGTCTTACAGATACAGATAGACAATAATAATAACAACTCAATAGAATTTCATAAAACTAGAATTTTGATAAGTCTGTATACGCGCACACATTACCAGTGGCGTATCTAAGGGTAGATGAACTAGGTAGTGGCCTAAGGCCTCCAAATTTGTCTGCCCCAAAATTTTATTATAGATAAGTATAAATTAACTTAGAAGTTTTTTGTTGTTGTTGGGAATAGTCACTTGGCATGACATTATACCTGTTGTCAATGTGGTTTCCAAAAGCCTCTTGTTAGAGATTATCTTACATTAGAAATTAAGAGTCAAATAATTGGTATATAATTTCTTGAATTGAAATAATTAATTGATTTGATTTAATTTTTTAACGTTGTTCAACCTCAGTGTCTTGTGATCGAGTCCGATGATCCCTACCTCAATCTAAATTTTATCACCTACATACAAAGGATGGTGGCATTGATATAGCTATTGAAAAGTTACAAGGTCTTGTGACTTTTTATAAATAATATAGAGGCAAGATTTGAGTCTTCTATGATCGAGGCAAAAATGATTGCATGTGAAATGAAAATAAAGTTTGATTTCAATGAAAGACGAGTCATTCAAAGGAGAATAATTTTATGAAAATATTTACAACAAAGTGGTAAAAACTCTTAAAGAAATGTTCAAGAAAAATTATTTCTTGTAGATGATAAATCAATCTCTTAACTTAAGAGTCGATTTGAGCAATTTCAAAAGCATGAAAGAGATTTTGAATTTTTGTTTAATGAGAAAAAAATAAAGTCATTAGAGGTTGTTAAGTTAAAAGAGTGATGCTTAAATTTAGATAAGTTGTTGACATATAGTGAAAAGTTGTGTCTTGATGGTTTAATTTAGGCCTATTTTGAGATCTGAAAATTTAAAAATAGATGGTGAAAGTTGAAAATTGGAATGTGCATTGGATTATTTAAAAAGGTTGAATTGTTTACCATATACATTTATTCTTTTTAAAATAATCTTGATAATTATAATAAATGTTGCATAACAGTTTCTCAAAACTGAAATTGTTAAAATTTTAATTAAGATCATCAATGTTTTAAGAAAAATAAAATGGATTAAGAACGTTATCAAATGAGAAATTTGATAACTAAAAGATCTTGATTACACACATTTAATTTGAAAAAAAAATTTACATCGTGAAAGGCAAAAAGAGTATATATTTTTAAATTTATTATGGTATTATAAGAAACTATGGTATGTTGACTATGAACTTGTTTTTTACTTTTTTCAATTATTATCTTGTATCAAATATTTTTATATAGCTTTTGATATTATGAAGTCTATATTTTTTAAAATGAAATATCTTGTTTTGCTTATTATTTCCCTTAATATATAAGGGCCTTTGATTTAGTTTTGGCATAGCCCCTTGAAAAGGCTAGAAATGATATTGCACATTACCCCTATACAAAATTGGAGAGCGTGCCTGTAGGGACAACTTAACAAGTCTCAGAAGTGAAATTTGGAATAGGAGATCAAGGATCGAATCTCACCAACGACAGTGTGGGAGTAACCTTTCAAAAAATGAGGGAGCTCCTTGAACATGGTGAACACTGCTCCGAGCCACTATTGCTGGTTAAGTTGTCATGATTTACCTCCTCTCACCATTTTGTCGGGCATGAGAATTTTATTTTGTGCATGTGTACATGTTATGGATAATATGATATAGCATTTTGTGTGCCATTTATATATGTGTGCATTTAGTATTGATCCCATTTATATAATTTTATAGAAAAACTCACACGAATATTTCACAAAATACGATTTTTTTTATTGAAGTACTTCCAAGATAATTAACACCTTTACTCTTAACTTGTTTATATTTTCATGTCATTTTTCTCCACTTGCATGTTCAGCTCCTACGTGGAAAGAAGCCGACTTGTATTTTGAGTACTCTTTTTCAATTTAAATTTATTAAAAATGGGAGTCCTAGGTCGATCTTTTAATTATTTTAAAAACTAAATTTTATTTAATTATATTTTTTTGGTATAGATAATTACTCTAACATATAGTGTATCAAGATAGGAGCTTCATGTTTTTATCCTCAAAATAGGAATTTACATCGTGGTAATGTCACACTGTACATGTACATTTTATAATTCTTTTTGGTATAGTAATGTATATGGGCATAATTTACCTCTTATTTCGAGAATAAAAATATAAAACTTCTATTTTGATATATTTTTAATGCTTTACTACTTACATTAGTTTTTTTCCTTATTTTATTTAAGTAATGTCGCGACACATCAAATATTGCAATTATAGAAATACAGCAAGTTTTCGGGACAAATATTTCATTTTTCAACGCCTATCGTATCAATTTTCATAAGTTGCACGACATTAATTAAGGAATATAGGGATAAACCAAGATGAGAGTAACTCCAAAATGATTATTTATCTTCCTAAAGAAAAAGAATATCAACCTGCCCAAAAGAAAAACTGAAGTAATAATTAGAATTTCTAGTTGAGCCTCTTTTTTGTCACATTTAATGAACTTAAGTAATTTTATTTCTAAAATGGGATGAAATATAAAATTTAGGACTTATATACTTAAATATTATTTTTTTAAAAATTACGGAACAGTCATAATAAAATTGCATTACGTTTTCAAATAAAAAACAAAATCCAATAAAAAAAAGTGAATAAAATTCGGTCTTGTAAATAACAAAGAAACAAGAGTACCTTAATGTACGCGGTAAAAAAACATTTTAATGTACAAATAAAAATGTTACAAAATTTATGAATATAAATTCCCACTATTTAACTACTTAAAACCATTTTATTCATGTACTCCGAAATGAAATTCACAAACAGTAAATTAAAAAATATTGTAATTTTTTATATTTGTGAGTCAAATACTCCTTCGGTCCCAAAAGGATTTACACGTTTCAAAAAAATTTTGTCCCACAATCCCTTACTCATTTCTATTAAAAAACCACTTTTACCCCTTACTTTTTCAAACCCTACCTATCACATCATACCTTTTTTCTAATAATCTACACACAACATCCTACTTTTACACATCACATCAAGGGTATTTTTGGAAAGTCAACACAAAATTATCTCTCCCTTAATTTCAACTTTAGTCAAAATGGGTAACACTTTATGAGACGGATGGCGTATTATTTTTCAGAACCAAAATCTAGGATGCCACGCACCACCCGACCTGGCCTCGCCACATCCTCCCTCATCCCACGTGTAGCGTAATCCTCGCTCCTCTCGCATCTTGTCGCAACCCCGCGAATATAATCAAAACATTTAACGGATTTTTGGTAATAGGATTAGGGAGCTATGAGTAATGCCTACGGCTACCATATAGGGAGTACACTCAATATTTCAAAAAATTAATGGAATGATATTTTTATGTTGATTTTCAAAAAATATTTTTTATATAATATGTAAAAGTAAGATGTGATAGATAGATTATTGGTAAAAAAGTGTGATGTGATAGTAAAATAGGTTAAGAATTATTAAGGACAAAAGTGATCTTTTAATAGAAAAAATGAAGGAATTTGCGGGACAAGAAAAAAAGGAAAGTGAAGGGAATTTTTGGAACGGAGAGAGTATTTAGTAAAAAATGCAATAAGTACTCTTTCCATTCCAAAATATTTGTCATATTATACAAAATAAAGTAAAATTTTAATTTTTTTTGATTTTTTTAATTAAGGGTTGTTATAGAAATAAAAAAGAATAATTAAAACTATTTCATGAGTTCTTCAAAATAAAGATTGAAAGACAACATAAATATTTTATTTTATCAAATTATCGCTGAACACGTATAAATAAATAAAAGTTATTATGATTTTTGAATA